GGCTCTGGCCCTCCCCTGGGGCTGACCCCTCCCCCCCACCCCACATGCTGCCTCTCCCAGGACTTACCCCCGTCCTGGCCGCAGGGAAGCCGTGCTCCAGGTAAAGGCAACCGGAAAGTGAAGGGGAAATGGAAGGGGCAGGATTTGTAATTTGGCACCCCATGCAACTGGCACCCTAGGCGGCTGCCTAGTTTGCCTATAGGCACAGGCTGCCCCTGCCTGGGTTACATAAGTTATCAGCCTTAATTCACAGCAGAACGTCAAAAATAATCAGACTTTCCCCCAAGCATAGAAATGGCCTTGGAATAGGAAAATGCAAGTTACCGCATGTTTCAGCTCTAGTGACCAGCAGCTATTAGTTCAGTGTATGAAGTAGCATTACCGTCCATGCATGCACTACAGCAGAGGTTCTCAACCTTTGACTCAGGTATGGATGTGAAAGGTTAACCAATAATGGTGGGAGGGCTGAAGCAGCTTCCTGCCTGCCACATGCAGGGGGCTGCTCCAGCCCCAGAGGGGGCCTGCCAGAGACAGGGGTTGCTCCAACAGCCAGAGCCGCCCTGTATGCAGGTAGCTTGGGCAATAGAATTTTTAATCGACTACTCAATTAGTTGATAAGGGAAGGCAACCCACCTCGGTCCCGGCTTGTGCCAGGGCCAGGATCAAATCCCTCTGCAGCTCTGCAATTTAAAAAGCAACAGAACTAGGCTGCGTGTCCGCCCAGCTCCTTACTGCTTTTTAAGTGTAGAGTGGCAGCGGGGTTTGGTCCCAGACTCTGCATGATTGAAGACTGAGCCAGGCTGCCTGCCTGCATCCTGCTGCTGCTTTTTAAAATGCATATATAGTCAATAGCATGAACTAATAAGCTTCTATTGATCGGTGATTCCACTATACTATTACATCCCTCGTTTGTAGGGTCCAGGACAACTACCCTGAATTATCCTGCACTTTTTTTTTGGGGGGGGGGGGGGAAGAGAGAAATGGGACTGCCCCACTCAGTAGCAGCACTACCTGCCTCTGATCCACTTTGCCCTGTCTCCCACTTCAGGGGATGCAAGACCTGGAGGGTACAGGAGCCAGCAGCAGCACACCAGGCCTGCTCTGCTAATCCCAGCATCACTTGGAAGAGGACTGGTCAGGGGACTTTGGGGAACCGGTGGCAAGTCTAAGTATTGTGGCTTTTTCATCTAATCCATACGTTCACGTTGATTAAAATCAAGAAATATCTGCATTAAACAGTTCCATCAAAGATTGTTACAGTAACCTGCTGTTTATGCACATTTCCTCTATAAACATAACTAGACGCAGTCCCTAAAATAAATCCACCATGACTTGACTTATCTTCGATAACACAGGTTAATACACAGGCCTTAAAAAGAGATCAAGGCAAAACTGAAAGTCTGAGCCATTCTGGTTCTTCATCAGATATGAGTATCTGTAGTTAGATCACTAACAGTATTTGAGGCCAGTGGGGAAACAGTGATATTGAAGAACAAGGATCAAGTTAGTTAGCAGTAACGGGAGGAAAGTTTGCAGTGTAAATGCCCACAATTGGTATAGTCAATACGTTTCCAAAAAAGAAACCAAGTATCTTTTACAAGCCTCCTCTCTCCCTCACTTCCCACCAGTAGGGCGGCAGTTTAACAAAGCCTGCATCTAATGGTTAAATACTCTCCTTAACAAAAGGAAGTGAAGTTTTGCTTAGATTTAACTTGCTATTTCATTTATGTACTGTGACTTTGCAACACAAAGATACTGCCATGAATTAGACACAATGGGCAACTAAAGGCTTTTAGATCAGATCTTGTTCAAGTATTCCACAAAGTAAGTGTTTCCAAAATTGGAGTAGACAATCCTAGGTTGTATGTACCTCCCATCACAGGGCCCCCAAAGGCTCTACTTGTGCCAGTGGTAGCTTGCATAGGTGATCTCTACCAAGTGAGGTGCCTAAACCACTCCTCAGGGTGGTCTTTAGGAGTCTCCAAGATGTGCTTGCTGCTCATCAAGTGAGCTTGTATTCATTCAGGAAGAGCAGTGCTTCAGTCCCACTTCACCCCGGCAAAAGGGCTTACGTACATCATGCTGTCTGAAAACCAGAGTTGGACCACTGCCCCTCCATCTCCTTGGCTGGACTGAAGAGGGAGCAGCAGAGGCTCTAGCCAGCCTGAAGATGAGTAGTGGCAAGCCCCATTGCCTGTTGCCCTGTGCAAGAGAGGCCCCTTTATGCAGCACTACAGCAGAACCATGAAAGCTTGAATGGTATTATGTTAGCAACTCCTAATCAAGCATTAATGGCTTCATCACTCATGACCCCCACAGCAGTAGCCCCCAAGTCTCTGGCATTAAGCTGAGTGCCTGAGCCAACCAGGCCTCTTGCAGACTGCTGATGCAAATACTGGCTCTGGGTGGAGATACCTCATTATCCCAGTCCTAGAGGACCCTACTAATCACCACAGTCCTGACTATCACTTTGAAAGAGATTACCCCCAACACCAGACTGATAGTACTCAAAATTCCAGTCCCCCCAAAACATCCTGTATCCCAGACTAGCCCTTCCTCTTACTGCTCTTCAACTCGCCTGCTCCATCTTAGCTAAACATGGTGTTGCTAGACCACTACTATCCACTGGATCAAGACTACTACACCTCAGTCAAGCTAGAACTCCTTATTTTGTATGAGTGAACTCAAATAGGGGATGTTAAAAAAGCAGTTAATTAGGTAACTGTTGAAAGTCATAGCGGTTACATACGGGAGGTTCTGCAGTATAAGAACCAGTGCGCACCGGGAGCCTTGACTGCCGGCCCCACTCCTGAGGAGCCAGTTGCACTGCAAGCTCAGCAGTATAAGCTTTATATTACAGAGCCCACAACACAGGGCAGTAGTCAGCTCCAAATTAGCTGGTGCACACTGGAAGCCAGCTCCCTGTGTACATGCACTGGCTCCCACCTGTAGCTCCACAACCCATGACTGCCTGCTCCCCTGGAGCTGGT